AGAATATCTCCAAAATAGTAGAGTATGTCTGTTACAATAAGAACTAGAAAAACATGTCCAGCTCTTTTTATTTGCAAGATTTTGAGCAAATTCAAGTCCAAGTTTCATATATTCCCGGCATCAATTTCCTTTATTTTTAATATCTGAAAGAGATAGACAAAATTGATGATTATTTTTGCATTTCTATAAAAAAGGTGAGCTATTGTAAAGAACAAATCAAATACTTGATTTTAATTAAATCATCTATAAAAAAAAACATATATTAGAGTCATTAAACTTTTTACTACCTATTATCTAATTAAATACTTACTGACAGATTGTACTAAATAAATACGTACTATGTCTTTAGATATATTTTGTAATAGGTTATTTAGAATTCGCATAGAATTTCTATATAATTTAACCTCATCTCTATCTTTTTTTGATTTAGGTGCTCGTCTGCTATATAAGAACTTGAATAGAATTATAGCTTGACTTTGTTTTGTCTTGATCACTTTAACAAGTTTGTCCATTTTGTGATTTTTTGTATAGAGAATTGTTAACTTGATCCTAAGTAAAACAGGGAAAATTAACAAAGAATTTGGCTTTATTATTTTAAATTTTACAAATTAATACTTACCATACAAGTTTAACCACATCTTGATATATACAGAATAACTTATTTATAATATATACTGTTGTATCTATTGAATAAGTTCTTTCATAATCAAGAAATTTGGTTTCAATTCTTGTTGGCGTTTCAAGTCGCTCAGAACTATTTATAGAAAAATTATTGAGTTTTTAGTTGTGAATTGTTAAATATTCCAAATAAAACTTACAAATGTGTTAAAATCTGTTGTGCTATGTTATAACCTTCATGATGATAAGAATTGAATATTTCAATTAGAGTTATAAAGACTTGTAAACCAAATATGGAATAGTTATTCTATCACAAACATCCTTGATAAATTGATAAACATATTTCTTAAATTTATCTGTTTGTTTTCAGAACCGTTGCTTGAGAACTATACTGAGCCATTTATTTTGTCTTTCATCTAATGATTTATAAACTCTTTCGAACACCTTATCATTAGATAAATCAATGATATTATTAAAAGATATAGATGTCATAGAATCTTTTCAGAACTTTTTATCTTTTTCTTTTTGTATAGACAAAATAGTGAGTAATTTATTACAAATGTCCCTTTCGTCCTAGAAAATTAAATAGAAGTAAACAAATAAATAAAAAGTAATAAATCTAGCAAATAATAAAATATCTGTGTGAGCTTCTTGACTTCTTCTTCATTATGATTCATAGCAATTGATTCTGTCTCATCAAGATTTTGTAACTTGGAAGCAGATATGAAGAAATCTTGTGCAGTACTTGATGATGATGAATTGTTGTTAATGAATAGATCATCATCATCCATATCGGTTTTTACCTGTTTACACACACAAAAAAAATTTTTTTGAGAAATTTGGGGCAACAAATCCTTATCGTAAGATTACACTTTATATTGATCTTTTTTGAAGTAACTATAACTGATTTTTTATTCTATAGATACGATAAGTAGTCATTAAAAAAAAAGTTCACTATAATATTCAAACCACCATTTTTTATACCAAATCAACTCCTAACCTTTTTTGAAATAGATAGGTTTTTTCTCCATTTTTGTCGATTGATTGATCCAAATGTAATTGTACTATCATTAATCATTCCAGCTATACCATACATAATACCAATATCTGTAAATGTCAGATTGTGGAGGTGGATTGTAAATTCATTTTTATAGTTTTTTTCTCATTCTTTTGCCAATTGATGATCTTGATGAAAATTTTAATATAGCAGATTTAGAAATTAGTAATAATATTCTTAACCGATTTTCATCCCACCAGATGGTCTCGAAGACTTAATACCAGACAATTTGTATTTATGCTGATCGGATTCTCATCTTTACTATCTTTACTCTTAATAATACTATAAATGGATAACTCTCTTTAATAATATATGATACAGAATCTTATAAATAAATTTTGTATTTTTTGAAGATTGTCTGTACCCTGGTGGACTAATGCACTGGTGAAATTTTTTAATATAAAAGGCCGATATTTGGAAGATAGCTAAGTGAAACATCTAAAAACAAATATTTGAATATCATATAGATGATATAAATATAAATAATATAATCAATGAAATATCGGCTTAAAATCATAGAAAGATATAAAG